CCGCCCCCCCGGCGCGCGGGGGGCCGGCGGGCGGGCGCGGGCGGGGGGGGGGGTGCTGGGTGGGGGGCCGGGGTGGGGGGGGGAGAGGAAGGCTTTTAAAATCAGATCACCAAGAACTTCACCCAGAGCAGCCACAACACAAAACTCTTTTAAATAAATCTTCAAATGATGAAATGGGGAGGGTATGTTTCCAGTTGCAGCTGGGCGCAGGCATAGGGAAGCCGCCTCTTCCCAGAAGCCCTCTAGGTGCACCCTGGAGAGGTCAGTCCAGTGGCTGCTCTTTACACGCACATCTATGGTGGAGAGGCTGACAGCAATTGGGCCTCAAGGTGCTCCTCGGGGCTGAGGGAGAGGACAGGAGCAACAGTGTGTTTGTCCAGAACGAGGCCAACAGCCTCTGGAGACAATGGCTGCATTTTCCCTGCAACGGTGGTCCAGGGTCCTAGGGACTTTCCCATGGGGACCCGAACAGGACAGGTCTGGCCAACCCCAGCATTCCTTTCTCTTAGACCAATCCTTTGCCAGCTTCTGCCAGCGCTCCCCTTTCACCCTCCAGCCCTCTGTGCCTGGACAGATGGTGATGCCCTGTGTGGGCCTGACCACGGGCCCCATCCTCGTCACAAAATGATCCTTGGCTCCAGGCTCCTGAAGCTTTCTGCATGAGCTTGGCCTGACTGTGTCATCCGAGCTCTCTGCAGACAGCACGAGTAGCGGGTTAAGGTCATGATAACCAGAGCCAGCTCGGTGCCCACCCTAACCCCTGGAAGTTCAAATAGACTGGGGCACTGGGGAGGGGGCAAAGTCCAAACGGGGCACGTTTTAGTCCATAAGGGGCAGGAGAATAATCCAGCCAGGTCGGAAGTAAAAACTGCCCTGGATTTAAAGTTGTGATGTTGGTGTCTATGCAGCAGGAGTGAGCAGGCCCGGCCTGACCGTAGGCTCTGATCCTGCAGCCTGATAAATAAACAAGGTCAGGCGCTCTGGGGCTGCCTGAGTTGGAGCAGGAAGGCAGGGTGGCGGTGGGGGTGGGGGTAGGGTGGGGAACTCTGAGGCAGGAGAAACAGACCCTCGTGGAGAGAAGATGGCGGGAAGGAAGAGAAAGGAGGAGGGGAGAAGCAGACAGGCAGGAAAGACAGAACTCCTTGAAACTCACCAGCTCAGGGCTGAGTGTGCTTCAAGTAGAGCCCAGACTCTGAGAAGGAAAGCTGTTTGGAGGAATAAAATTTGGGCCACTAGAAAAAGCCAATATCTGGCTGGGCCTGGTTTGGGGGACGGACTATATTTTGACCTGCCCTTTGGTTGCCACAGAATTACCCTTTGATGAGACCTGCTCCTTAACTTCCCAGAAGTTAAAACTTGTCTGGTTCTCTGGGCCCCGAAGGTCCCCTTCAGATATATGGTGAGGAGGCCAGGGCCCAGGGGTCTTTTTCACCCCCTTCTTCTCCACATTCCCTATTGGCTTATCTTCCCTGCACTGCCCACCCCACCACCCCCGTCTGAACAGCCTGGGACAGCCTTGGTAGAGCAGGATATCATGTGCGGGGAGTTTGCTGGGTCTCTGCCAGCTGCTAGACAGCCCCCATACCCCCTCCCTGGAGTCAGCTTTTCCCAGCCTCCTTCCTTGTCTCACCAGAATCTGTGGGTCCGGTCCAGGGTTTGAGGCTGCATGGGAAGAGGGCCATCCCACATCTCCCAAGCCTTGCTGGGACATCCTGGCCCTTTGGCTGGCCCTGTCCATCCAGTAGGCCCTGTGTGCCCAGCCTTGTGCATAGGCCACAAGTGGAGAAAACAGAAGCATCAGGATCCTTTTTATTTGGTCATTTAGACTTTAAGCCCTATCTACTTCTCATAAAGATTTGAGGCCCCTAGAGAGTACTGAGTGCCCAGGGGTACAGACCCAGGCAGATTTCCTGCAGGAGGAGGAGTAGGTGGCAGTGGATAGGCCAGAGGCTGTGGCTCTCCCTGCAGGCAAGTGGACGGAGCGTTTTCTGGAAGGCACAGGCTAACCAGACTCACATCCCCTTCACATCTGACCCAGCAGAAGGGCTTCTAGGGCATAGGCTCATTGCTATGTCATTTGCATTCTGCTTTCATGTAATGCAGAGGATGGAAAATCCCCCTCAGCCCTGGGCCCAAAAATTATCATCCCTAATGTCTTCCTCCCATAGCTGCAGCACTGGCTGGCAGACGGGGAGTCCTGCCCATTCTCTGGGCCTCCTGCCTTGAGGTGGCAGCTGCTGTGAAGGTGGTGGCAGCAGCAGACACAGGCCTCGCAAAACAAGAGACTTTCACATGTGACTCACACTCCCTAGGACCAGAAGCAAAATGACGTGTGAAAACCAGAGCCGCCTGAGTCTTCTCAGGGGAATCCCCTCAAGTTTCCTCCCCATTTCACTCCTTTAAAAAACCCTGGCATGGCCCAGCACTCAAACCCTCCAGGAAAGTGCCACATTCTCCCAGCTCTACTGGGCAGGGGCCATGCCATCCAGGCTGGCTTCCTCGACGTTCTCCCCCAGGGTTCTAAGGTCTTGGGAAATACGTGGAAACAGAGAAATAGTGGGAAGTGGATGGGTCCCCAGGGGGGAGCCCAGATGGGCCCTCCTGAGCAGTTCTGCCTTGGAAGTCCCAGGCAGGGCTGTTCCATCATGTTCCCAGCCTGGCTTCCTCCTTATAATCCATTCTGTGAGCCACCCCTTATCCTTGCAGTAAACTGCACTTCTGCAGGGGATTTCTGTTGGCTTGCGCAGTCATCTCATGGCTCATGAATGCAGGATGCTCCAAAGCGGTTAGCAAAGGCCACCTTCAGCTCCTGACATACCTGAGGCTTTTCTGCCATCCCCAGTAGACCAGCCTAGCCCAAACCCTGCTCCTGTCAGCGGACAGTGGCCTGACCTTGGGGAGGCCCTTCCTCCCTCTGAGTCCCTGGTTCCCTCACCTGTAAGGAAGCTGGTCATGAAGAAACGGTAAAGATTAAATGACATGATAGACAGCTGACATATCAGTGGGAACGCAGCTTTTGATTTAAATGTCATATCTCTTTTTTTTATTAAAAAAAATTGTAATGTTTCTTTTTGAGAGAGAGAGAGAGAGAGAGAGGCAGAGTAGGAGCAGGGGAGGGGCAGAGAGACAGAGGGAGACACAGAATCCGAGGCAGGTTCCAGGCTCTGAGCTGTCAGCACAGAGCCCGACACATGGCCCAAACTCACGAACCGTGAGAGCATGACCTGAGCCAAAGTTGGGCGCTCAACCAACTAAGCCACCCAGGTGCCCCACTAGTGATTTTTCTGATAGTGTCCTCTCATTATTATTTTCATTGTTATCATTAGAAGCAAGAACAACGTGGTTTCCTCATGCATTATCCCGTGAAGTAGCAAAGCAGCCCTTATTATTCCCCACTTCACAGGGAGGGAAACTAAGATCCAGAGAGAGTGGGTTAGTGGTGGGCTCCCAAGTCAGGCTCTCATCCCCATCACCATGAAGCTGTGTAACCTTGGACCAAGGTACTTGTCCCCCCAGAGTCTCTGTTTCCTCCTCCGTGAAAAGGGGGCAATAAGACTGCCCACATCACGGGCCACGTATTAGAATAACACCAAGGAATTATCATTCACTTTTTGAGGAAGTGATAATGGCTTTGTGGTTATGTAAGAAAGTGTTCATATTTTTAGAAATATATACTGAAGAACACAAGGGTGAAATGACATGATGTCTGGGATTTGCTTTGATGGATTTAACTAAAAAAAATTTTTTTTAATGTTCATTCATTTTTGAGAGACAGGGTGAGTGAGCAGGGGAGAGGCAGAGAGAGGGAGACACAGAATCCACAGCAGGCTCCAGGCTCTGAGCTTTCAGCACAGAGCCCGACGCGGAGCTTGAACTCAGGTACTGCGAGATCATGACCTGAGCTGAACTTGGATGCTTAACCGACCCAGCCACCCAGGTGCCTCTTTAGCATACTTGATTTAAAAGAAAGAAAGAAATGAGCCAAACACGTGTGGCAAAATCTTGACAGTTGTGCCGTCGGGATGATGTGATGTATGTGGATCTGTTCTCTCTGCCTGTGAGATTCTTCATTAACAACAAAAAAAGACGGCCTGCCTCACGGAGCTGTGGTGAGGCCTCCCCGGTGCCGGCCCCAGGAAGCACCTAGCAAACGTGAGCTACCTTTGTGGCTACCGTTATCCTTGTCACTGTCCTGCCAGCCTGAGAAGGTGAGCCAGAGTACAGTCAGTGCTCCTGAAACCCGTCACTCCCAATGACACCTCGCCCTGCCTGTCAACTATGGAGCCTCACCAGCTGTGTGCCAGGGCTCTGTCACCAACACTGAAGGCGGGGCTCAATCATGAGGTGTTACCCCCCTATGCCCCGTGTGAGCAACTCTGTTCTAAAAGACCCCCTTCGGGGGGAGCCTGGGTGACTCAGTTGCTTCAGCGTCTGACTTAATTTTAGCTCAGGTCATGGTCTCCCAGTTCGTGAGTTCGAGTCCCGAGTAGGGCTCTGCACTGACAACGGCGTGGAGCCTGCGTGGGATGTTCTCTTTCTCTCTCTCTCTCAAAATAAATAAATAAACTTAAAAACATTTTTTAAATAAAATAAATAAAGACCCCCTTTGGCGACTCACTTGAACCAGAACATCTGGTCGCCAGGCCTCCTCCAGAGCCCAGATGAGAACCCTGTCACAGCTTCTTCATGAGGAAGATGAATTCTGCCAGTCAATCCAGTGCCATCCTCTGTGCAGTGGTGACAGCTAGGGGGGAGGCAGGGGCCCGGTGTTCAACTGTCAGCCTCCTTACTTTCCTGCCCTGCAGTTCAGACACAGCCTCTTCAGAGCTAGCCACCAGGGGGTGCTGTCCAGCGGAATCACGATCTCCCGGGGTTCCAGAGCCCTAGAGGCTGTGGAAGGAGCCACCTGGTAACACTGGGCCGAGGCAGTGAGCAAGTGAACTGCTTGTGATGGAGCGAGTCCCAAGCCCCCACCCTACCCCTAACGTGTTAATTTCCACCAGCATTTTTAAATAACATTATGTATTTTGGGCGTTTTTTGTTTGGTTTTGTTTTTGTTTCCAATAAAAGTAACTAATGCTTAACATGCTAAATGGATTTTGAATTTTTGTCCTGTGTTGCTGCATGTTTGAAGATTTCCTGAGCTTAGGGCAGATGGCTCCTAAATTCTTGGGCTATGAAGCAGAGGAAGGGGAGCTCCAGCGGCCTGTGAGACCCAGGCAGATCCCTGGCCCCTCTAGGCTTCAGTTTCCCCTGTCTGCACGTTTGGGGGTGCTGGCTCACATTTCTCTGAGCTCTAGCAGGCCGGCCTTCCTCAGTGTTCAGGGCTGGTCTGGGAAAGGTGGGACAGGGGAGGCTCACCCCTCAACCTTTCTCTACAAGGCCCCCAACTATCTGCCTCCCAACTCACTTCCTCTTCGTTGTGCAGTTCTGGCCCCTCCTTGGGGGACCCTCCTGACCACTCTGGGCTGCGCTGTTCTTCTCCCCTCTGAGGGGCTGCACGACCTTGACTCTGCCATCCAGGGCACCTTGTCCATACGGTATAATCTCTAACTTCCCACAGATGCCTGTTCATTCTCTGGGAGCTCTGGCCCCGGAAGTGAACAAGACAGGTCTAGCCTCGCCTGCGCAGGCATCAGAGCCCAGCTCCCTGGCTAGCATTGCGAGCTGGCGCCCAGGGTACTTTTGGTACTTTCTACGGGTGCAAAGGAAAGGCCAAGACAGCATTTTCCATGCCGGGGTGCAGGCATGCCGTGGCTTTGTCTCGTGTACAAGTCCCAGCAACCAAAGGGGTTTTAAGAGCTTTCCCCCAGCAAACCTAGCCGGAGTAGTTCAGGGACAAGCCAGGCCCCACCCCTACCATTGTGTAGGAGCAGGATCAAAAAGCTTTGGGACCACACTTTGGGGTCCTGGGTACAGGGCTTAGCAGGAGGCAGGGAGCATTTCTTTGACTCCAAGGCCAACGTAGACTGGTAGTTCTCAGGTCTGCAGGCCTGGACTCCCAGAAACCAACTGCCAAGCACTAGCCCCACAGTCAGGAGGGAAAAGCTGTCTCAGCCCCTGGCCTATACCTAGAAATCTATTGCATCAGGTCTGCTGCTGTGGCCCAACCTGCTGCAACTGAAGAAACCCCCACTCAAACCAGAGGGGCTGTGAATTCCAGAAGGGGAGTTTTTGGCCACAGACCTAGTCCTACTCTGAATCAGGATGAGAAGAGCCCCGTGAAAGCCTTTTCTTATCCCCCAGTTTGTCATGTGCCCTTTTTCCCAGGGCACTATAGACCCCAAGAAGCAAGGTGACTTGTTTGGTCGGCGGGCTCAGCTATGCCAGAAACTTCTCCAAGCAGGGAGGGCAGCCCTGAGAGGGAAGAATGTTGGAAAGAGAATGAATGGGTCAGGGCACAATGCGGGCTAGAGGCACCAGAACTCCCACTCAGAAAAGGAAAAAGAGTCCCCAGTTCAAAGAGGAGGGTCCATCCTGGGGGCCCGTTAGGTCTGCTGGTAGCAGGGGCAAGGAGATGAGGGCTGTAAGAGTAAGTTGCTTTGGAACCAGCACCCCCTGGGGTACCTGGGGGGCTCAGTCGGTTGAGCATCCAACTCAATTTTGGCTCGGGTCATGATCTTAGGGCTGTGGGATCTAGCCCTGTGCTGGGCTCTGTGCTGAGCTTAGAGCCTGCTTAAAATTCTCTCTCTCTCTCTGTCTCTCTCTCTCTCTCTCTCTTTCTCGCCCGCCGCCGCGGAGCATTGCACTCTTTCTCTCAAAAAATAAAATAAATCTTTAAAAATAAATAAATAAAATAACCCAGCCCCCCCACCTACCTCCTGCTTCAGCATCTTCCAAAACCATGGGCTAAGAAGAGAAAGAAAAGAGGGAGAAGAGAGAATTTCTCAAATGGTAAGAACAAAGACCAAGCTTGACCAGAAGGGGAAACCCTTTAAAAGATGTCAGTAATAATAGAGCGTCAAACAAAAAGTAAAAACAGCAAAGCTGACAAGGAAAACCGCAGTAGTCAGCAGAGGCCCACCAGTGACCCAAAGGTGAAGAGAGGCACTTTCACCCCTGCAGAATGGAGACAGACTTCGGGAGCCACCCCCAGGTCCTAGCACAGCTCCGGCGGCCAGAAGCACGAGAAGGGGGATCCCGAAAGGTTCTCTGGTGCTCTGTCTCCAGAGGGACAGGTGCTCCACCTTTGGGACAGTGACTTGGACCCACCTCCCTGATAGAAAGCCTGAGGGCATGGACCTGTCTATCCTGGCACCCAGGAGAGGCTAGGGAAGACTGTGGTACATTAGAAAATGACCCCGGGCTACCTGAGCAGCGCCCTCCCCCTCCTGAAGCCCTGGAGGCTGTGACTCTGTCCCCTTGGTAGCCATTTCCCATTTCTGAAGAGTCTTCTGAAGGAGCCAACACCAACTTGGGGTTCCTTCTGTCCCGTCACTGTCTTCACACAAGGAAGGGGAAGACATCTCTGTGCGTTGCAGAGCTAAAGTTAATTTGGAGCCCCGAGACCGAGACAAGGGTTTGAGCTATGCGACCTTGGGCGAGTCACTTCCTCTCTGGGAGCCGCAGTCTCCTCATCTGTAAAATGGGGTTAAAAGACCTACCTCTCAGGGCTGTTGTGAGGATCAGATGAGATAACAGATAGGAAAGAGTTCTGTAAACAGTAGAGTGCCATGCAAATGTATGGAGACATTCTTGGGTCTAACGCATATTTATTGGACATCTGCTTTCTGCCAGATCCTGGCTCAGCCCACGGGATGTGGTCTTGAGTAAGACAGAGGGGTCCTACTAATACAGCAGAGAGAATGGGAGTGAGCAGGATACCCTAGAACCATAGCCTCACCCACACCCAGAGAGATTGTATAGGGAACCCAGGCCTCCCAGCTCCTGTCCCTGTGTCTGAAGGCTGTCTGGGGTGGTCCCTCTCCCTTCAGCAAGGTCATCGCCAAAGCAAACACCACCAGTCTGGAGCTCCAGCGGCTTCCAGAACCCCAAGATGGAGATTACTCCGCTGGAGGAAGCAGGGTTGCAATTTGTAATTAGAGTCACCCAGCAATGTTGCCACAAATTAGTCTGAGAAATCTCTCCTGGGCAGCAGCAAGGAGAGGGGACTTCCCGCCTAAGAAGGGGCAGGGGGCTTCTCTGACCACCTCCTGCCAGCCGATACGTTGACCTGCTCCGGAGGTCATTAAACCTACCTTAGAATGGCTACAAACCCTTGGTGCAGTTGAGCTGAGTGAGTAGTTGAGAGCCCAGGTCCAGGAGTCAGACCATCCTGACTTTAAATCTTAGCTTTGCTTCTCGCTAGCTATGTGACCTTGGGCGAAGAACTTGATCTACTCAGATTTACTTTCCCTAATAATAGTATTTTCAACTTCATTAGCATTTTGTAAAGGCTAAACAAGACGATTGCTGTAAATCTCCGTGCATATAACTAGGCTAGGCATACATGAGTTGCTCAATTAATTTTTACCTGTTTAACAAATATTTATATGGTACTTAATATGGACCACAAACTATTTCAAGTACTTTACAAACAATAACTCTCTTAATCTTTACAAGAACCTAGTGAGATAGGTATTATTATCATTCCATCTTACAGATAAGAAAACTGAAGTGTGCTCACAGGCACACACACGAAAACTGAAGCACAGAGAGGTTAAGTGACTCGCCCAAAATCACAGAGCTAGCTAGTGGCAGAACGGAAACTGAAACCCAGGCTCTCCTCTCATCTGCTTCTTCCCATCTTTCTCCTTCCAGCCCATGGTTTTAGAAGTTGAAGCAAGTGAGGGAAAACTTATTTAAGAACAAGCCCCCTCCTCATCACCAATCTCTGTCCTCCTAGACCTAAGTAGGCCTAGGGGGAGCCTGGGCACAGATTGGGCTCAGGCTCCGTGCTGTCAGCCACTAGCATTAAGTTGCCTCCCGCAAAAGGTGATGTTGTTATTACCCTCCCTTGAGATCAGCCCCCTACAACAACGCTCCCCTGCAGCCTCCAGCCTCCAGCCTCCAGCCCCAGTTTGGAGCCGGAGATGTCCAAGGTCTGCTCTCACATTCACCTCAGAGGCTGCCATAGCTCGGATGCCTGCTGTGGGCCCCACAGAGCCAAGTGAGGAGCAAAGCTGCATGGAAGTGTAAGGGACTGACCACAGTCTCGGAGGAGCCTCAAGGGTAGAAACCCTCCTCAGCAGCTTCTCTCCCTTGGGAACTCCCAGCCTCTGCTCACACACCTCTGGTGACGGGGAGCTCACTGCCTTTGTTGGCAGCCTGGGCAGGCCACGGTTGGCCAGCTGTGACTGGTAGACGTGTTTCCTCAAGCTGAGATGAAATCTCTCCATGTAATTTCCTCCCATTAGTCCTGTCTCTGCCCTCAGGGCGCGCAGGCCAGCCGGCTCCCTCCAGCCTGTAGACATCTGGAGATGGCCATCTTTTGGCAGGAGGAGCCTCCTCTGGAGCTGAACACTAGGCAGCTTCAGGCTGGCCTCAGAAGGCAGGGTTCCTGGTGCCTTCCCCCACCCTGGTCCCCACTTTCTCACACATAGCAAGACTGTAGGGTTGAGGGACAGCCCCTTCTAAGGGTCTGGTCCTGAGCACAGCACTTCTGGGTGGGAGCAATAATAATAAATGACATTGGACACCACTTAGCAAGTACCTACTCCTCACTAGATCCTGTGCTGAGTACTCTGCAAGCAAGAACTCATCCCATCTTCTGGGCACTT